ATCTTCAGGACGTCATGTTCGGTATATCAACCATCAACTCTAAAATCATCATCGGCAACTTCCAAGCTTCCAAATGATCATCATCATCCTCCTCCTCCTTGTCATCGTCATCATCATCATCATCACCACCATCACCATCATCACCATCACCACCGCCCTCATCATCATCATCACCATTATCGATTCTCCATTCTGCATTCACCATTCACATTTCACCATTCACATTTCACATTTCGCTCATCATTCACCATTCACCATTCACCGTCACCATTGTCATCGTCATCGTCGTCTCATCATCACCATCGCCATCACCATCACCATCATCATCGTCATCATCATCGTCATCGTCATCGTCACTGCCATTGTCATCGTCATCGTCACCCTCACCATCACCATCACCATCGCCATCACCATCATCACCATCATCATCCATTTGTTGCATTGCCTGGAACATCTTGCATATGCGGAATCCAGATTTGGGTTTCCATTTGGGGGTCGTTTTTTAAAATGTTTGTTCTTTTGCCAAAAAAACCTGGCGAGAGACAATTGCTGCATTGGGGGTTTCTCGCTTGCTGGACCCAATGGATATTGCAACCCTACAACAGCCCTGCTAGCTTTCGTACCCCCCCCGGCCTCAAGTTGCTCTTGTGCGCATGCAGAGCGCGGGACATGAAAGTGAAAGCGCTTCTGGCACTCGTGCTCTCAAAAAAATCAAAATGACAGTGCAGATAGATAGAAAGATGGATATATAGATCCATACATACATACTCTTGCAGATGGCGACGGGGAGAGAGAGAGAGAGATACATACATACATACATACATACATACATACATACATACATACATACATACATACATACATACATACATACATACATACATATGTTGAATAAATACATATATTTTCTTAGTTAATACATGTTAATACATATGCCCTTGCAGACATCACCACACTTCGCCGGTCCGAGGATTTGGAATCCGTTTCCCTTATCGGTGGACGTGAATTCCTACCCGGACGCTGACGTTGGGAAGTTCTTGTTTAAGGGCTGAGGGCAACGATCCCACAATGTGTCACAAGATATGTCACAACGTGATCCATAGAAGTACGGCAGCGATCGGAATCGAAAGGGTGCTGAGCACGAAGCCAATTGTCATTGGGGCGTAGGTGCCCTGATGTTGAATCGCCAGTCCAAAAGGTGGGCCTTGGTGCATTTGCGCTGGATGGTGTCATCAGAGTCCCCAGTGGAACCAACGTGCCTGTGCTACACAGAGTATCACACAGTAAAGGCAAAAAGAATCGAAAAGAAGTGACCTAGAGATTTGAGGTGATATAGTTGCACCTCCCCTGCTGGAGTCGGTTGTGGTGATGTGAGATAGGAATCATATATCATCATAGAATTAAAGTAGTTGAACCTTCTCGTAGTTGAAGGCGCTGTACAAATTTGGCAGTGCAGAAGGCAAAAAACAAACAGAAATGTTTCTGACTCTTTGTCACCAATGGGATTTGTGCGGCCTAGAATTGGAGAAACAATTTTCCTCGACATGCTTCCAAAACTCAGTGCCAAAAGGCACGGTGGGAATTTGCAAGGTCATTGTCCAACCAATTGAATAGTTTCCAAGCTAGTCCGATTTTTTCCATTGGATTTTGATGGTCATTAAAATGGAAGGAAGGTGTGACGTACGCACCTGCCCTGAGGATGTGATGCAGAATCACTTGCTACAGTTGCTGACGCGTGGGACTCAGCATCAGGACTCATCTGAAGCCCTGAAAATTGAATTGAAGGGAAACCATTGGACTAAGACTATAGAAAATAATTATAAGGAAAGATGTCCCTTTCCCCCCATTCCGGAGATTCAAATTCACAGTGTCTTGGTCTCCTTTTCCGGCCAACTTTGATTTTCATCCAGCCCTTCTGAGCTTGTTGAGACAGGCTGGTTCTCATGGAAGCACCGGACCGGTGCCCAGAGAAGCTGTGAGGGCGGTGCAGTGATGGGTGCAGGGTGGTTTGTAGATGGCAGGCGTGGATTGTTCTTCTACCAAACTGTGGTTGGTTTTTTGGCACTTGCATCCAACAGGTGGTTTCCTCACCCGGTTTTCGTTCAATCCGAGTTTCAAGGCGAGTCTGGATCCGGAAGATGTGAGAGATGAGAAAGTCAAGGCATGGTCCACTTGAGGGGAGACCTGGGGGCGTTGGAGTTGGAAGTGACAGAACTTGCATTTGTTATAGATATTTATAGTAACTCAGTATTATATAGATCTTATTGGATTATATTAAAACATGTGAGTATATATGACAGATTGTGATAGTATATATACGTATTTATATATGTTATTACATATGATTCATATAATTATAATGTGTGTGTGTGTTTGGTTTATATTCTCGTGTTAATTGACTTACTATAGAAACAATCATCGTCAGTGCTCGCAAAATCCGGATTGTCGGTGCCCGCATCGTTTGTATGGTGAGAGCCTCCGTCTCTGGCTAGATAAGATATTTGGGATTGCGGTGTGTTTTTGTACGTTTGTATTGTTCTTGTGAGTCTGGCTCCAGTTTTGCTTTTAGTAGAAGTTTGCTGTTTGCATGTGCGTGCAAGTTGAACCAAAAGTGTCAACTCTCAATGGACGTGGAAGTGAACTGTATTGGTCCAACCATCCCACCCCACCACGTGAAATAGCGTTGAGTGATGTGGGCTACAAAAACGTGGGCGCGGATGAGCCAGTCTGAGGAGGGAACCTGTGGGCGCCAGTGACGATCATCAATGATTCAAATTTGTAATCGCAGATGATCCCCTGTCGATTAATATATTGACTGGTGTTGTTGATGCCGGATTGTTTCGAACGTCCTTTCCCGCACTTGATAAAATTCTGTATCAAGCTTGCTGGCACCGGAATCCATTCGAAATGTTTGGTTGAGTGCAGGCGCTAGCTCAGAATGGATGGCGGCGGGCAATTAAGAAGTAGGTAATTGCAAAGTGAGCAGGGGAAGGATGAATTTGCCAACGTTTTTTGTCCCATTCACTTGGCTTCAAATGAATGCGAAGAAAAAACGAGTGAGTTCTCAACCCTTCCTGAATCATATCAAAACTGTTCATTTTGCTTCAAGCGTGAGCATGGGAGGTCTTGAAGCAATTTCGCCCGGTTACAAGAGAGGAGCCCGGCACGGCACTGGCCGATTGCGACGGGTACTTGTAGTAGGGGTTGCCTATTTTCATCCATCTTCCCACAGCAGGGAATCTGCAGGTTTGCATCTCCTAGATTCAGTATTAAACGCATCAGAGAGGTTTACTATGCTTACTGCTCCACAATGGCCTGGTGATATTTGTGCTTCAATCAGCTGGCCCATGGCGCATGCTGGCGCTAGAGGACTGCGTCGTGGGCCAATATGATGGCTACCAAGATGACCCAGTTTGGTAGCCCAGCTCTGCAGGCACAGGAGAACCAACCACACCTGACTTTTCTATGGTGTGGCTGCAGTCTGGCTTGAGTTGAGTAGTTTGTATTTATTGAAGATTTATTGAAGTATATTGAAGTAAATATGATTAAATATGTACATTATGTTGAAATGCCATGATTTGGCCTGCACCGCTTGTTAGAGCCTTTGCTAGGCATCAGTTTTGTTGCAGCCCCTGCACCGTACATATTAATAAATATATATGAGAAACGGTCAAAATGGTTGAAGCCACTTTAGTATTGCAGGAGTTTTTGTTGTCAGAGATGTGCACGAAACACTGTAAAGCAATAGGCCCCCCCAAAAGCGATAACCTGGGACCATACACGAAAGTCCATTAAACTTGGCGTAAACCAAGCAAATACTGTTGTGCACATTCAGAACGGACCGGGCAAAACCGATGAAGGAAATTCAACCTGTGGTGCCCTGTTTCCTGCAGTTACCATAGCATTTGGCATCCAACTCGCTCGCTCTCTTTCTCTCTCTCTCTCTCTATCTCTGTCGCTCTCTCTCTCTCTCTCTTTCTGTCATTTTGTGGCAAATTTCCTTCGAAGAATGTAATATGTTGCAAGTGTTATTTAGCGATAACCTTAACCTTAGCGATAACTTAGCGATAACCATTTGTTGCACTCGGTTCTCTGGCAAAGATTTCAATAACTTTAGAAAGGAAATTAAAGGACATGAATGCAAAATGAAAGGAAAATGCGTGCAAATGAAAGGAAGATGAGAGGACATGAATGCACATTGGAATGAAAATGAAACAAATATGAAAGGAACATGAATGGAAATGAATAATTACCAATGAAAGAACCATGACAGGACAATGAAGGGAAATGAATGCACAATGAAAGGAAGATGCATGCAAATGAAAGGAAAATGAAGGAAAATGCCTCCAAATAAATGCAACACCAAAGGAACATGAAGTGTTGCCGAAGCACCTGAAACCAACAAAACAACTGTTCGATCCATTTCCGGGCCTGTTTAGGAATGGATTTTGGCTTCGTGTTGGATCTCGAATATGCTGATGTCCACAAAACCTCCTGTCTGTCCTGTCTGTCCTATCTGTCGTGTCGGTCCTGTCTGTCCTGTCTGTCCTGTCTGTCCTGTCTATGCAGAATGGCAGCCAGAATATATCAGAATATATTATAATTGATTAGTCCATAGCTTCTAGAATCTAGGACCAACTAGTTGTTTGCTCAGTTTGAGGATAGCGCCCAGGCCATTCAAGCCATCAACGAGAAGCAAGGTGCTGGACTTGGAAAGTCGTGTGCTTTCCGAGACCCACACTAGATATTGGAAGACGCCAGAGTCAGATTCGCAAGACTATTTCTACCTGTTCTATCCTGTTCTACTTTTGTATCCCCGTCGGTCGCTAGAGATCCTGTATCTCTTCCGATGATGGCACCAGATGGGCACTACATCATTGGACTGCTGAATCGATGGATGGAAGGAGTGGCAGACAAACTCTAAAAACGAAGTTTTGACATGTAGAAAGAGTATGAAAGAGTGATAGTGAGAATCGGAAAGAGAGCAAGCGGCAGCGGGGGGAGGCTCAGTTTGACCCACCTGAATGGCCAGTCCACACCTCCCAGAGATATAAGAAGTGAAGCGTTTCTCTACTACTGTGTGTCATGTGCTGTCATTTGGTGTCTGAGGATACAAGTCCAAATGCCCAACTTTTGCTGCTTGTGTCGCCCTGACACGCTTGTGTCGTGCAGCTGGACTTGGTGAGTGTGTCCAAGCACTTGGGGCCGCAAGATTTTACCAAAACGGAATACCATGGAATAGCCCAGAGTCCACCAACCCCAAAATGCTCCAGTTCAATCCAGGTCAAGTGTGTTTGGCACTGGAAGGCAACTAGTGAGTAGTGAAACATGGTGCCCCCATTTCTTCGCTTGGCTGAACAGGTCCTGCACCTGGACAACGAGAGATGGCTGGGACCTGAGGGACAGCCAGAAATGAACAGAAATACAAACCCAAGATGGGAAACAGACCATAAGCAGACCTATTAGCTCATATGATGATCATGTGGATATTACAGTCCCTGTGATTGTGGATATGATGTTTGAATATCTTTTGGCAAAGGCTCATTTCAAATCAAATGTGCCAGTAGAGGAATCCACAAGAAACCCCCTTTTGTCAGAACCCTTTTGCAGGAGGAATGGCCAAAGGTCAGAGGCTTCCAAATCTCGACCAGGGTCAAGAATGATCATCCTTGTCCCATATTTTCTATTATTTTCATGTATTTTCGTTATTTTCACACCCCCTTTCTTTCATTACATACTGTAGCTCCTGGGTAGTTACCAAAAGGCTTGTCGTTTGTCAAATTTTTGCCAATGCCAGACAAGAAAAACGTTGCAGTTATTGTTCAGAGCAAGGCCCAATAACACAGGTCCAAACTTGGTTCATTTGGATAGGGACCGATGTTTTCAGCGTCAGGAACAGTATGGAATTGTATCACATGTCTCAGCTTCCAATGGTTGCAACATGTTGGGTCAACCGTAGGGGTTTGCCGAAGCAAACAAGGTTTCTGAGCTCGTGACCATTGGGTGGGGGGTGGGGGGGGGTTGGGGGGGTGGGGGGGGAGTAATAACGTTCAGGCAGCTTGCGTTCCATAGAACTCATTATCCAACATTGGAATAGCTGTCCGTGGGGTGTGGGGGGGTGGGGGGGGTTGGGGGGGTGGGGTGAAGAGGGGCCCTAGCGTCTACTTCAAGATCAGCTAAGGCGTCTTCCCCAATGACAGCACTATTTTACTCTCAGCCTGTTGCCGGTCAGTGCTTGTCCACAGGGTTACTCTATATACCTCTTGAGCCTTGAAGGGCGCATATAAATGTGCTCAATACTCATGCATGTACCTCTGTAGGTATTAGGTCGAAACAAAAACATGGGGGGGGAAATTCGAACAATAGCACCAAACATTCGAACAATTCATCGAAACTCAACATGGCTCCGAAGGAAATCTAACTATGCTGTTCCAATAAAACACACAACTTTATTTCTCTTTCCAACAAATCACAAGTTCAAAAATCCTGCTAATTTTTCCGCGGGATCCCGCGAAAAAATCTTGTTCGCAAAACATGAACCTGGTTCAAACAATCATCCCTTATCATGCAAACATCTTGCAAATGCTAATGTGAAACCAATGAAAAACACTGAAAATACCATGAAATTTCCTCCTACTAAACGGCTGCGGATGGACATACATGATCTTAACATATGTTACCCTTCTTGCAAACTCATTCCGACTCACGGCAAACCCCCCCGGCAAACCCAACATGTTGCAACTGCAAACGGCTGACTGTCCCAGGTCAAATGTCCCCATCATCATGAAGGCGGGCAAAAGTCTTGAAAGACGATCCACCATCGTGTCCGACCCCAAGGAAAGTTGGCCCCAGATTGATTCGCAAGACTTGGCACGCCTCATATGTATTTCGAAAAGCTGCCATGGCGCATGCCCCTGTCATAGTAGGTGAAGTAGTAGGTAAATGGCCAGTTTTCATGATGTAATTATATCCGTGACCCCAAAAGCGGAGACAGTGACTGTGTGTGTGTGTGCAGAGAGTTCTTCAAGCCGTTTTTGTTTTCTGACAAGGCGGTGCCCCATTTGGGCAAAAAAAAATGAAGCCCCGTTGAGCGGCTCCTGGATCTCATCTATCCTACAGAATATGAGAGATTCAAACCAGCACTTCTCGCAACCTAGGGGATACTAGAACTTGCTCACCATGATTTGGCGTGCACACCAGACAACAGAATGGTGCCCACTCAGAGAAACTCAGCCAATAACCCGGTCACAAGATTTAGCCATGATACGCTCATACTACTTTCAACAGCAGCTGGCAGATGTCATCAAGGACGGCCTTTTAGATCTTGTAGAATTTGGCAGCTCTTTGCGTTCGATGAAATTTACTGAGTCAACTGGAAACGTGACGCATGATCTTCTCTATGCAAGATTTCAAGATCGACAACCAACAACAGGACATTATACACATATGTTTTGATCTGTATGACTCATTGATCTCTGTGGCTTGTAGCTGCCTTGCTGGGTTTACGGTTTGTGATCCGTTCATAGTTTTTCACATCATACTTTCCATTTGGGAAAGAGTTGATTGGCCATGGCCCCAGGAGGAACTCAAGCACAACTTCTGCTGGGTCAGTGTGGAGCACGAGCCTCGATATGCATACATGATGGGCAAAGGCAAAGGGTGGGGCAAGGATGGCAGCGATGGCGAGGACAAAGATTCCCCAGCTATAATTGAGAAGGTGGTGAGCATCATCACTGTTCGAAATTCTCGGGACGCCTTGGGCGAGAAAGGTGCTCGGATCAGACTCCTGCAACACAAGGCAAGGCGGAAGATGTTGATGAAGTTTGTTCGTGGTCACGGGTTCCGTGATCACTTTTGCTGGACCATTGCCAACCCCTGAAGGTGAACAGCTATTTTGGCTTCAGCGACAGCTTCCTGGAGCTGTTTATAGAACGCAAAGAGAGAGAGTATGACTCAGATGCCCCTTGCACAAATTCAGCTAGACTAGCCATGACTAGCCAAATCTTCAAATCCCCCAAGCCTCAGAGGTCTGCCCAAAGAGACCATAGGGACCATCACAGTACCCCACACCGACCTGACCTCTCTGGCCTTCCCATCCCCGGCCCCAAGGATTCTGATGGCCAGCTGTTCAGAAAAGGCTCGCCGTTGTGTGAAGCCGGATGTAGTGGAAACGCTGTCTCCTTTGTCTTGGGCAAATGATGTGCAATCCCGGAATCCTGGATCTCCCGAATTTTCCGCCCAATTGGTAGCAAGTTCCCTCAGCAGTGCTTTTCAATGCTGCTTCGCTGGATTGACAGGCAAAGGCAGAGGAAAGGGAAAAAGAAAAGGAAAGGGATACAACGAAGAGGAGGTGGAAGAGGAGGCTGAGGCCAGTCCACAGATGGGAACAGATTGTCGAAATTAGACGCTGTCCACGAAGCAGATTTTCTGATGCCTATTCGAAGAAGTCATTGATTTGGCCGCCAGTTTTCCTGGAGTTGATTCATGCATTTGTCTATTTGCATGTAAAAATATGTAAAATTAATGTGCACATGTGCTTGTTATCTCACTTGCTGCTACTGTATTAAGGAGAGTTAAGGAATGTTCGAATAGATGTACCATGGGAACCCTGAAGGAACCCAGCATACCCAAGAAGGTGCAGCGGGATCGGCTGGCGGGAGTAGGTCAGGTGGATAGGCCCAGTTCAAGTATCATTGGGGGGTCCTAAGATTGTTTGGATTGGTCCAGATGGAAATCCTATTCTGGACTATACTGGACTTGAAAGTTTCCAGGCATAGGTCGGCAGAGCAAAGTGCAACTTGGTGCATTTGACCAGGGTGAACGGTTTCATAATGATAAAACATGATAAAACCACCTAAGTTCTGGATGAGTAAATTTCTTTTCACGCATGTCTCCCCGGTTAGTTCTTCTCTATACTTGCTTTCTCTCCTCCCCGATTGATCCCATCCCTGGAAAATCCCGGCTGCTGATACTTCTCCAGTTGAATTTGTCCAGGCTGTGGGCGCCAATTAAAGGCCCAACCCTGCTTTGGTCATTTTCTAATAGTACACCAAACATCTCCAAACATCACCAAACTGTTTGGGTGATGCTCACCCTATCATCACTATGCTTTTTGGCCATAAAGTATCACAAAGTCTCCAATGTTGATAGTTTTGATATGTTTTGATGCCGAATTCTGGCAGTTGAACCACCTTGAACCATCTCAGTTTGGGATGTCCAAAATTTCCAGTCGACCCATACCCGTCGTCACTCAGCGCCAGGCCAAACCTCCAAAGCCGAAGATGCCAATTCGGCGCTACGAAGTACCCCAGGACTTTGGCCCGGAGCAATGGATGGAGTGTGCCAAGAGATGTGCTCAGTACCTCAGTTGAAGTCAGTTGAACCTATGTGGAACTTGTTTTTGACCTTTTTATATCTAGCATTTTTTAACGCTTCCATAATGAATGTGGCAATGGCATGGCTGAAAACTAGTAAAAATATTAAAGATATCTAAAGATCATCAATTCCCAACATGTTTGATAATTCAATGCTAAACTGACATAAACTCACTGGCAAGTCTCGACACCTGGAGACAGGTCTAGTACCTGACTGCTACTTGCCTGGTGGTTCCGAATATTGTTTGGTTTTCTCCTTATATATTGGCGATGGTGATCACTAATTGATTAAGAGATTGAAAGCACCGATTGAAATGAGCAGTCCGCACAGTCTATCAGAGTTTGGGGCATGCGAACGGTTGTTTGTTATCCGCTCTTGGCATGTTGGCAAACATGTATTTGAAGCTTGTTGTTTGTTTGGCCGAAGTTTGGGATGTTTGGGGCCCCCAACTCAGTGGTAGCAGCTTTGACCTCGAAGCAGAAGGTGCCCACACCAAGCGCAGGCTTAGCAACCTCCTGAAGGAGAAAAAAACATTTGGGCCAGTTCAGATGCTCCTGGGAGACCCGCTGCGCTACGGTCTACGTCTCTGGCGTGAATACAATTTGAGGGCTGCTCCACGTCGAGACCCAGTCGTGCCAGATCCAAAACCATGGGCTCCAGTGGATACATCGGAATTCGCCGACTGGGGTGTCCCTGTCCCTGATGATTGGGGGGCTCCATTTGCTGCGGATTGGGGGGATCTTCCTACAGACCCTCCTGCAGACCCTCGGCTTGCAGGGAATAGGCCTAGCCAGGACGCTACATGGTAGGGCGAAAGTCATGTAAACTGAGTTGGAGAGCTAGAAATGCAGCAAATAACATCAAGTATATTTCTTGATATCGATAATATCGATTGCATTTCGTCAGCCAACTGCCTTCAATTGATAGAAGGCCGTGGGCTTGCAAGACCCTTTGTAAATTTCACATTAGGGGCCCAATAAGTCAAGCAGCTCGGAGCACCTCGGAACCAACCAGCATGCCATGCCCCTGCGGTAAAACAACCGTGATGGTAGTACTGGTAGTATCTGGTAGTCCATTCGCATCGCGAGGCATCGATCTCCCTGACTGAAGAGGAAAAGTTGGCCGCACGAGCAAAACGCTTTGGAGCATCTACTGCTGAGAAGGCGTTAAGCACAGCTGCACTCAGATGTGGTGTGAGAGTTGGGTATATGTGTGCATGTTGCACGTAACAAAAGAGCGAAATAGGGGTAGGTGGTCATAAAATGTCAGAACAGGTCAGGTGATGATAAAATGATCGTGTGACAGGACAGAGGGATATACTTGAGCCCTGGAGCCAATGACCATTCCACATCCATATTTTTTGTGACCAAGGCCCAAGGCACCGGTGACACATTTGAAAGAAACAGCATCAAAGGACACCCCTGGGGCTTGTCCATATCATTTCTACAGAGGTCACACCAGTGTTTGGACCTCGAAGTCACAGGCCGTCTACTGTACACTGGATGCTGGCGACACGTCCCCTACGAGGGTTCCATACAATGGATATCAATGGATTAATTTCCAGGTCACCAGCTCTCTTCTGCTGAAAGACTTCGGAAGTGATGAAGATGTCCACCTGAACAACCTGGATTTGAGCTCCGCAGCTGCAGAATTTTCTTCGGATTGTGGTTCTGGAAGTCCGAGATGACAATCCTCTTAGCAAATCTCACCATTCTCACATATTCTCACCATTTCTCACCCAGCAGCTGAGTTAGTAGTGGGAAGATGTGGGAAGAACTTGTTTTCTTCAGCAAGGAGTTTATAAGCAAAGCTAAAACCTCAGACTGGGAGTCCTGTCATCAAGCACGTCCCTTCTTTTTCAGGGTGATGTTCAATGATGTTTATACTTAGATGATCTTAGATGGATGGAAAGTGTTTTCCGAATTTTGCTGAGCAAACTAGCACGTTTCCTTATGGTCACCTGACGTCAACCCCTCCAGCTTAAATCGTTTTTTTCTCCAGAAGCAGCTGCAATGTTTAACGCTTTCTACGTATGGCTGTTGCACCCGGTTGCTCGCATGTTGGCCGAAAAGTCACTTGGCAAATTGCTAACCCTGTCTCAAACAATTCGCCAAAACCAATTTTGAAGCCCCGAGCAGGTAGCGCTTCCTGCGCCGATGTCATTGAAAAACTGAAGGAAGTCCGTTGCTTTCCTTCCAACGTCGAGCCTGTCTTAGTGTGGCCTGGCGTCGCAGACGGCAAAGGGGTATTTCAGGTTTGTAGTTTGGTTCAGGCTTTCAGATTAGGATAGATTAGGGGATATTAGGGGTTTACCGGTTTGCCTTGTATCAGTATGTCCTAGGCATGCATAGCAGCCAATTTTTGAATTCGTCATGTCTACGTAGCAGTAAGCAACAGTAGCATGGACTTTCATACGCCTCTGCCGTCGATGCAGTGTAACTTGAAGCACGGTTTATGTTCCACAGCCCAAACATCCTTCACAAACCTCACTGCCTCATGGCGTGATGCTGTAAATAAGCTAAACATGGTGGCATATGGTGGCTAGATGTTGCCAGCTCATCAGCTAGGCTGCTGCCCAGTGGAAAGGAATTAGAGCCTGATTTTCAGATGTCGAAGATCCCAGATGCCTGGTAGCAAGTAGTAGAGCCCATGGTTTTCTTTGAGCCGCTTCCCACTGTGGGATATTCTGGGGCACATTCGTTGACTTGCCGGTTTGCAAAGAACCCTACCACAGCCCTTGTCTCGGTTTCAAATGACTACTTGAGACGGTTGATTGATTGAGTTTGAGTTTGAGTTTATGAATGGGTTTGAACTTAGTTTGAACATACCAGGACAAGCGTGAATTAAATTGAGGGGAATGTGTTGGGCCTAAGGCCGGTGAATCGTTGAAGTTCATGGCACTCACACGAAAGAACTGGTGACACGTTCAAGTTCATGGCGCTCACAAGAAAGAACTGAGAGTGTCCAAAGCCCGCTGAACTAAGACGGGCTGCCTGAATTGTTTGAGTTGCCTTGCCTACATGGTACAGAAGAGCAAAGTCGGCTTACCATGGCGAAAATATGCCATGCAGTCACTTTCCTCAAGTGACTGCCAACTGCTGAGATCCTGAATGGATCCCTGTTCTTGGCCCAAAGGGCCGTTTAGATCTGTTAGCACATCTTGTTTGCGTTGAACGACAAAAAGGGAGAGAGAGAGAGAGAGAGGGAGAAAAAAGAGAGAGAGAGTGAGAAGCCATGTCTATTTATGGTCAAGCCAGGGTTTGGGGAGCCCCAAGTTTGGGACGAGGTGATGACTTTGCCAATCGTTTGATGGCAGGTGTCCATACTAATACCATTGCCATTTTGTCACAGCCCCGAGAGCCGAGGCGATTGCAATTCAAAAAGGCTCCACCCAACAGCCTCTTTGGGGTTAGTGCCTCAGCAGTAGAGGGCACATAGGACAGTATTGAAGTCGCCTTACCTTATGGATCACCGTGGGCCAGTTTGTGAAGCAACATTGGCTTATGTCATCCAGCTTTGCACTGGAGAATAATGTTGTCAAGAATGCTAGTCGTGCCTTGAGGATCAGCCACAGAATGAGTTGGTCATCCGGATTCAGCCCGATGAAGCTATCTACTACAGGAGCATCGCGCCGCGCAACAGCCAAGTTATAGCCGTGGGAATTCACGCAATGACCATCCATGACCAATCCTCAGTCTAACGTCAACCCCGCATTGATAAACCTTGGCTGATAAAAGAGGGGGTGCCCCATGATCTCTGCCAAAATGGTAACCTCATGTACCCCAAAAAATAAACAGCCCTGGGTTTCATTCATCCAGGATCCTGGCAAAGACTCCCGGCCTCAGTGCACGAGCCCATGAAGTGCAGCGCGGGTGATCTCAGTGTTTGATCTGCGTGCCTCCCTGAAATTATGATCTGCCTTTTCGGGGATAAATTGGCTGTGTCCCTTGTATCGTCCTTATATTGTACCTTGATTACCTTGGAACTTTGACGCTCTTTACATGTAAGTTTTGCGGAGTGGCCTTGGATGCGCAGCAGAATGTGGAAGTAGCAATCCCAAGGGGACATGCAAACATGCGAAATACTTGATTAATGTGGGCAAGCAAGTGCAGTTCCGTTTGACACACATATGATACATTTGCTGAACATGCAGGGTAAAACATTCTCATGCATTTTCAATAATCATTCTACCGTTTGATTTTCAAGTGTGGAAAGGTTGCTGGCGAATATTTGCCCTTGGTCCCCATCACTTTCTTGACTCCACGCTTGGGCTGTGCTGGCTCAAATGCAGCCACGATTTTGACGTTTTTTTCTTCAGCCCTTTGCCCCTTGCTTGCAAAAAGCCGTGTCTTTTGTCTTCAGGAAAGCACAGGAAAGCTGTAAGGGCTCTCAAACGGGTTTGTCTGAAAATGTCTGAAAATATGGTATCAAAAAATCCACTGGTTGATCATCAGTTTCTTCATATTGTTATTTGGGGGCATACCACATTTTCAGAGTGACATACCCAAAGACTATTCCTGTGCTTGCGCTAGGCATTCGCCTCCCAGAATGGCCGCGGCAGTTATGCAGCCTGCGGCATGGCTGCAGACAGATGTGGTGTACAAACCTCCGACCTGGAAAGATAATCTAAGGAGGTAACCTGTAGAGGTGGAGGTATTATGCTAAGATATGCTGAATATTGTTTCCGTGACACTTCCCAGACACCCATAGGACTTGTGAGAGGGGCTATCTAGGTCTGTTTGCTTGCCAAGAGTTTGCAGGACCGTGCGGCGCTGGCACAGCGTATTCAGGGCTTTGGCAATGTGAATCCTCCACCCTTGGAAGAGGACACGGCCAGTGTGGGCACCGAGAGATTGTGGGAACTGGGGGGCCCAGGCTGACTTCAGGGCACTTCTGTAACTGGTCTGGTCCTTTGATCAAAACTAAGCTTTGCGATACAACAGGACAATGAAAATCCCAAAGTCCAACACAGCAGTCATTTGCCTATATATGTGAATCTGAGTATGGCGAAGTTAATTTCCCATAGTCAACACACTTACCTGCAGCAATCGGAAATGGTGCCTCCAGCCCAGCTGCCCAGCTTGCAACGGGCGGCCCCCCCCAGGCAATGTGGCGAAGCGAGCGGTGCGGAACTTGGGTGACATGGTCGGAGAGGAAGTGGCCATGACCGTGCAGGCCAGCTGCGTATCGGCTGGTTATGGGCCTGAAAAAATGGACACAATATATGTCACATATATCACATATTAATAAATATTACACAACATATGACATATCATACATATCACACCATTCTACCATATTTCTACATAGGTGTTGTCAGATGTTGTTAGATTTAGCTTGTAATTGCTGACGGCAATAGCGAGGAACAGTTCTCCCCAAGAAGCCAGGCGAGTCCTGATCTTCCACAATTGACTGATTTTGGGAAAGTGCTAAAACGTGCTTAAACCACCAAGCCATCCATTTCTTATGGGCTGACCATGGTTGACCAGCACACCTCCCCCAGAACTGCTACTGTACCGCTCCATCTTTCAGTGACACCAGGATTTCAAACAGAAGGGTGCAGTTGGAGCTGTCAAGGATGCGGTGGCAGATGCACCTTGTCTATTGGAGATGCGATGTGGTCACAAGGGTGGCTTCTAGAGATGCATTTATTCACCCGAATCCCGAAATCACGGAGGTGTACGGCACAAGGAGATGCAATGTGCCAGGCTGCTTATGCTGCTTCAATGTGCATGGAAACAAGCCCATTCGGATACCCAAGTGGTGAAAGTTTCAAAACCATAGTAATAATTAATAATCATGGTCACCGCCATCAGCAACAGCAGCATCATCATGATCATCATCATCATCAGCAGCAGCATCATCATGATCATCACCACCACCACCATCATCACCATCAACCTCACCACACTGGCGTCACGCTCCAGGCTGGCGACATCTTGATCGATGGGGCACCTTGTCGGCGGTTTGGGTTAGGACAGTCCGTACAATCAATGCTGCAACAAGGAGAATGATGAGAATGTATTGAGAATGTGACAAAATGCCCCAAGTGCATCCAAATGCTGCAGCTTTGAAGCAACTTTAGGTGCCAGGCCAGATGCAGCAAGGTGTAGGAGCGTTGGAATTTGGTTTCCTTATCCGTATCCTGTGCTGAATCTCTCTGAACCAGGTCTCCGGCATCGTTGGGTGGCTACGAGGCGACCCGCTGGAAGAAGAAGAAACCAAAGCCTCAGAGGAGCCGCACCAGATCTACTGCTACCAGAGATTATTTGGATTTGGACATTTTTTTCTGCCAAGCATCCCTTTATAAAGCTTTGTAAGGGGCGTGTGCAGAAACATGTGTTCGCTCCATTTTGGCCCTTGTTTGGATAAAAGATCATGTAAGTTATTACAAGGAATTTCGCAATTCATGGCCATGTTGATTCAATTCATGCTGGTCAGCAGGATGCCCAGAAAGTGCTGGCGAATGGGCCCAGGCGCAGGTTTTGAATTGTGTTTGTGCAGTTTGGTTGCAGCTGGTGAGATGCAGTATGATAGGTCCTTTTTACGAGAATATATGAGGAACTTGGTTTTTCAATTTTCCTCTATACCTTGGGAGGGCTTATACTAGGTCTACACATGTCTAGACTTTGTTCGTGTTTGTTCGATTGTTGGCTGTGAGCCCCTGACGTTTCTCTCATCATTTGCCATGCCGCCAGGGGAGCTGCTTATGGCGTGTCCCAAGCCTCACCATCCGGCGGCATCAACGCAGTCTGGGTGATGCCTGAGGCCGGTGGAGGGTTTGTAGCAGAAGACAGAACTGGGAACCAGAGATTATCTCCATCATTTCGATGGTCTTGCTGTTTCTATATGACTCAATACGGGAAGACTATGCATATTATTTATATATATTATATATATATATATTTATTTATTTATTATTATTATATATATATATTTATTATTATTATGCTTGCATACAGATAGACACGCACCTTCGTTGCATATAACCTCATGTAATATATGTAACTCATGTGACTCATGTATTTATATGTATCTATATATTTATATATGATGTATGATATATGTATGTAATGTAATGGAATGTAATGTAATATAATGGAATGTAATGCGATGTAATGTTATGTAATGTTATGTAATGTAATGTATGTATATACATATGCACCACATACATCCATATACACTATGTAAACGTACGACATACGATGCCTCCCGTGGACAAGTGTAGTTTGGATTGAAGGAACTGATCGTGCGTCGCCAGGAGGCGGATCCTGCCACCTTGGCTGAGCTGGCCAGCAAGAGCGGCAATCCACCATATGCCCCTCAGCATACCATTGGACCATATTGGGCCACTGAAAAGGAGATGGTCAAAGATGGTCAAAGATGGTCAAAGGTAGCAGAGCAAACATCTGAAATATCAAAAATCTGTAGGTAAGACATTGGTAAGACTGTGTCTATTGGATTTTGGGAAGGACATAGTGTAGGATTTGGGCAATTTATTGAAGCTGCAGTATGCGCATGTCCGTGCATTTCGTTTCTTCCGAGAATTGGCAAGTTGTGGAATCATGATGCAGCAAGATGGTCGGTCAGCACATGGCACTGCCAGAAGATTGTTCCTGCTTCTGAGGGTTGTCAAGCATGATTCACTTGGAACCACCACCGATGCAAAAATGGTTGCTTTTCTTGGGATAAATTGAACATTTGAGTTTGGCAACCTATTGGTTTCCATGGATGGAGACACCTCACCACTTTTCATAGGGCTTAGTGGTCGCATTTCATTTGCATCCAACACCCTTTCTTGATAGCTCTCGAAGTTACTCCAAGGCGCCCTCCAACATTCAGCCATACCAGGCTCCAGGGCGTCCGTGTCATCCTCAGGCACCATCTCAACGCTATGACAGACACACAGTGTATCTCAGTGTCCATCACTGGATGCTGTGGAAAGGAATCAGCAGAAATCATTAGATAGAACATTTGGAAAATCTTGGAATCTCGTAGGCCTTGGACGTCCCTCTTTCGGCCCATTGCTATCTAATTGCAAAGATGGGCTGGATGCGACGGCATCTAAATAAAATCAGGTTGCCATACCACATCATACCACCTGGAGTCTTGAGGAATGCGATGCCGCAGATGCCACAAATGCCACCACAAATGCCGCAACGATTGCCAAATGGCATCGAAATTGCACCATATCAACCTGGAGGCTCGACTTCACTGGGCTCAACTCCCCATCAACACATATCGATACCTTCCGACAACCTTTGGAGCAGGTCGATCTGAAGGAATGGTTCACGGCATTTTCGCCCCCAAGGAATGCGGTTTCGTTTCAATGAGTTGCAGATCATGTGCAAAGTTTCAGCATGTTTGAGAATTATGGTCTGTTCGATGGTTCGGCTGTGGCATATCACAGGTTCAGGGTGGTCAATCATGTATGTAATGTAACGCAACGTAATGTAATGTCATGTTATGTTATGTTCCGTTGTGTTTTGGCATGTGATGTGTTTATATATATATATAGAATAGTTAGCCATCATCCCTTTTCCCATTTTTTCCCCGCCCAGCAAATCAGCACAATCCAGCACCAAGACACAAAAACAGCAACAAGCAAGCAACACAGACAATAACAAAGCAGGCATATCAACAAAAAATCCAACACAGCACCCCAGTAAAACAAAGCAAGAAGCAAACACAAAGAAAACAAAGCCGACTATACAAACAACAACACAAAAGACTACCGCAAGAAACAAAAGCAACCCACCAGCAGAGCAAAACCAAAGCAAACTAAACAAACCAAAACGACACAACAAGAAACAAAACAATAGACCATTATAAGAAATATTCTATAAACCTAACCAAGTTTCAATTTATTATAATTATGATATCAAAAAATGAAACTATTTATTCACTAACCTTTCCAAAGACATACTATGATAAGTTGATACGAGTGTTTATCCCAATTGGCATTTCTGCAATACTCTTCGCAAACCTCACAGTAGGTTTTAGGATAAAGTGATGCTATTTCTTTTGCTGTTTTCTCGTTGCATTCTCTTTTGTAATCTAACACTTAGCACAGGATATACAACCATAGTGAAAAGAAATTACGGGTTCTTTTTTCTCACAGCACCCACACTTTTTCATAGGTCTTTCTTCATCTACACGATGTATCATTTACTACCTGCTATATATACATAATATGTCTTTAAGTATTTTAAGATATTTTAAGATATTCGGATATGTTTTTAACCATTTATCACTTTATGATACTTTATGTAGGTGTTATTTTAATTCACTCTGATTTTCGCAGTAATGCTCATAAAACCTAAACAGTTCTTCAACATATTCACGCAAGAAGACTTCTAAGATGTCCTTTACTTTATACAAATATTCTGCTTCTAAACATATAATGCTCTTTAACATCAGGCAACCACCAACAACGGTCTTTCTTACATCTAATGATATAGTTGAGGTCGTGAAAGTTTTTCAGTATATGACATTTGTATTTCCAGTTGTTCTTTACATACGACTTAACTGCTTGAAGAAACATTTTATCGTGCCTAAACTCTTGTTTAAGTCTTTCGTTTACCAGTAGGTGGTGTAGTTCCCTTTTCATTACTCTAACATTTGTTTGTCCGAGTAGTATTGGACAGATAGATAGGCAATGCCTCCATCCTTGCTTTAAAGAAATATATGTCTTTCTGCTGTTGTTAATTCTTTATCTTTAAAGTAGTCAAAATGATAATTGACATTTATGTATTTGCACTCCTTATCGTGTAAATCTTTGCATTTATAACAGTAGATGTTATATTGACATATTTCATCACAAACCCCAGCGGGGAAAATATTATTCAATACAACCTTAATGTTAGTCATTTCTCTTTTACAACACCCACAGTTTTTGTAATTAAATATCATTCTACTATAGTAATATAATATAATGTTTCTTTAAGTATTTTAAGGCATTTTAGTCAGCATATTTGATGTTAAAAATTCTATCCACCCAACCTTACCCATCTTACCAACCCATAATTCTAATCGAAGGAAGTTTATTTAGAAGTCAAACTTCCGACAATCTGGACAGATGAAAAGAAGAGTAGGGCAGAGGCAGAGAGAAGAGAAAGATTAGAAGAGAGAAGAGTAGAAGAGAAAGAGTCAGAAGAAAGAAGATGCAGATGCGCGAAAAGGTTGGAAAGTCGCGAAACACTGTGTTTTTCCAATGATTTGTGGCTCAGGAGGGTCGAAAAGTAGGCTCGCTAAAGCGGCGGGTGCGGAGCCAGCTCGCCAGATGAGAGATGAAAAGTTGCACGCCGTTGTGGCGCGAAGCACATTTGCAAGTCAAAATGTACAAAACACCTCAGCTCCGGACACTTTTGGAAGTTGAGATGTCAAAAAAGTGCACGCCGTTGTGGCGCGAAGCACATTTCCAAGTCAAAATGCACAAAACACCTCAGCGTCGGACCACTTTTGGAAGTTGAGATGTCAAAAAAGTGCACGCCGTTGTGGCGCGAAGCACATTTCCAAGTCAAAATGCACAAAACACCTCAGCGTCGGACCACTTTTGGAAGTTGCGATGTCGAAAAAGTCCACGCCGTTGTGGCACGAAGCACATTTTGAAGTCAAAAGTGTAAAAAACTGGCGGTCTCGGACCACTTTTGGAAGTTGAGATGTCAAAAAAGTGCACGCCGTTGTGGCGCGAAGCACGTTTCCAAGTCAAAATGTCCAAAACACTAGGGGTTCGGACCATTTTTGGAAGTTCAGATGCGCGGAGCATACTTCGAAGTCACACTACAGTACAGTACAGTACACTCCAGTACATTCCACTACACTACATTACACTACACCACACTACATGACACTGAATGACACTGCAACACAGATAGACAGCTAGACAGATAGACAGATGAAAGGGAGAGAGAGATAGACAGGTAGATAGATAGATAGATAGGTAATTAGATGAAAGAGAGAGAGAGAGAGAGGCCAGCTGGGTAGATGAGATAGATAGATAGATGGCTAGACAGATAGACAGACAGAAAGACAGACAGATCGATAGACAGACAGACAGACAGATAGATAGATAGATAGAGAGAGAGATAGAGAGATAGATAGATAGATAGATCGATCGATCGATCGATAGAGAGAGAGAGAGAGAGAAAGAGATAGATAGATAGATAGACAGACAGACAGACAGATAGATACATAGATAGATTGATAGATAGATAGATAGCTAGATAGATAGATAGACAGACAGATAAATAGATAGATAGAGAGATAGATAGATAGATAGATAGATAGACAGACAGATAAATAGATAGATAGAGAGATAGATAGATAGATAGATACATAGATAGATAGATAGACAGACAGACAGATAGATACATAGATAGATAAACAGATGAAAGAAAGAGAGAGACACAGAGAGATAGATAGATAGATAGATCAATAGATAGATAGGTAGATAGATAGATAGATAGCTAGGTAATTAGATGAAAGAGAGAGAGAGATAGATAGATAGATAGATCGATAGATAGATAGATAGATAAATAGATAGACAGATAGATAGGTAGATAGATAGATAGAAAGTTACATAGATAGATAGACAGATCGATAGATAGATAGGTAGATAGATACATAGATACATAGATACATAGATAGATAGTCAGAGAAAGAGAGAGAAAGAGAGGAGACCTCAAGCACCTTTCGGTCCATCAGTGGCTTCGCTTTGCCATCCCTGATTCACAACCACCAACCTCTCCTATAGGTTTCCTATTTTTGAAACTTCCGCCACCGCCTTGTGCGGTACTACTGGTAATGATAATTTTAATTATCACAAAAAAATGTTTCATTATCTTTCATTTTCATAAATTCATGTGTTTCTTTGATTGCCTGTAGTTTTTCGGTACAATCGGATTGATGAAATTTGTCCTGAAAAAATCGTGCCAACAGCTGCGCATTTTTCGTGTCGCTCCTTTTGCGCACCGCTTGACAAGTCTTGGGCGCACAGTTCTTCGGCACAATCGCATTGATGGAATTTGTCCTGAAAAAATCGTGCCAACAGCTGTGCATTTTTCGTGTCGCTCCTTTTGCGCACCGCTTGACAAGTCTTGGGCGCACAGTTTTTCGGCACAATCGCATTGATGCAATTTGTCCTGAAAAAATCGTGCCAACAGCTGCGCACCTTTCGTGTCGCTCCTTTTGCGCACCGCTTGACAAGTCTTGGGCGCACAGTATTTCGGCACAATCGCATTGATGCAATTTGTCCTGAAAAACCCGTGCCAACAGCTTTGCTCTTTTAGTCTTGCTCCCCGCCAACGAAGCTATGCGTGTCCCATCGCCCAGTGTTTGCACACCGCTTGACAAGTCTTGGGCATAATTACAGTTTTTCGGCACATTCGCACTGATGGAATTTGTCCTAAAAACCCCCAACAGCTCTACATTCTCACTATATCGCTCCCTCCTAACTGAGCTCTCTGTAGTGAATTATCTATATGACTATACGTGGTTATAATCATGCATTGGTTTCATTCAAAATCCTTGGGTTAATCGAAGGAAGTTTAGAAGTCAAACTTCCGACAATATGGACAGATGAAAAGCAGAGATGGGAAGAAACAGACAAGAGAAGAGAAGAAGAAAGAGAAAGTCTCAGAAGAAAGAAGATCCAGGTGCGCGAACAGGTAGGAAAGTCGCGAAACACTGCGTTTTTTCCAATGATTTGTGGCTCTGGCGGGTCGAAAAGTAGGCTCGCTAAAGCGGCGGGTGCGGAGCCAGCTGGCCAGATGAGAGATGCAAAAGTGCACGCCGTTGTGGCGCGAAGCACATTTCCAAGTCAAAATGCACAAAGCACCTCAGCTCCGGAGCACTTTTGGAAGTTGCGCTGTCGAAAAAGTGCACGCCGTTGTGGCGCGAAGCACATTTCCAAGTCAAAATGCACAAAACACCTCAGCTCCGGAGCACTTTTGGAAGTTGCGCTGTCGAAAAAGTGCACGCCGTTGTGGCGCGAAGCACATTTCCAAGTCAAAATGTAAAAAACTCACTGTTCGCAATTTGGGGTGTAGATCTGTTAGGTTTAGATCCGCTTCCTTTCAAATCTCAGAAAATCCCAAAAAATCCCAGAAGTTCATGCCTGATTGTGGTATCACCAAGAGGCAGTAATGAAGCAAAGGAATTGCGGGCATGAACGGTTTTTCCCTTTCAAAGCAATGCGATTTTTTCGGGATGAGCCGTTGATTGAAACAATGGCAACCAATCTAATGACAAGTGATCCCTGTCAGTTAAAACTGACGATTGAGGGTTCTGAACGTAGCAGCAGGCATGACCTCGGCTCAATTGACATTGACCTTAAGCCCATGCAACAATAGACACCGGCAACAGCAATGCCAAGTAATGACAACTTTCGCACCTGTATATGCAAGCATATTACCCCTCTGGACACTTGTTGGCCCATTGTGAGATATTTTGAGACATTTTGAGACATTTCAGGTTTGAGCAACTTGGAGCAATTTTGAGCAGTTTTGAGCAGTTTTTCGGGCCAGCTTGGGTCATTTCGAGCAATTTTGAACATGTTTGTCGGGCAAGTTTGGGTCATGTCGAGTAATTCTGAACAATTTTTGGAAGCACGATATGACATTGTTAACCTTGGACAATGTTCAAAATGTCTCAATTGAGGCTGCTTTGAGACATCTTACTTTGGCTGAAAAAGATCGCTGATGTAAACCCCACAGATCTAGACCCTAAAACATCCTAAAACAAGATCAGTGAAAAAAAACACCAGGTTCGGACCACTTTTGGAAGTTGAGATGTCGAAAAAGTGCACGCCGTTGTGGCGCGAAGCACATTTGGAAGTAAACATGTTAAAAACACCACATGCTCGAACCACTTTTTGACGTTCAGATGTCGTTTCGCGCGGCAGGCGCAAGGGATTGTGCACCGTGGCTCTCCCCAAGCTATTTCCCACCGCGTCCCCTCCGTCCACCCTGTCGTCGCTTCCGTCTCGCTCCTTCCCAACGGAGCTCTCCCCAAGCTATTTCCCAAGGTTTCCCCTCTGTCCACCCTGTCGTCGCTCACGCTAATTCCCACGGTATCCCCTCCGTCCACCCTGTCGTCGCTTCCGTTTCGCTCCTTCCCAACGGAGCTCTCCCCAAGCTATTTCCCACGGTTTCCCCTCTGTCCATCCTGTCGTCGCTTCCATCACGCTTCCGCCTTCCCCAAGCTAATTCCCACGGTTTCCCCTCCGTCCAACCTGTCGTCACTTCCGTATCGCTCCCCTCGCGGCAAAGTCAACTAAACGAGAACCGAAGCATCGGAGATGCTTTTGGGAAATAATGTGGTGAGTGAGGTAAGATGGGCAAGGTGGAGTCCACAGAAAAATCTGTCTGTCAGTCTATTGTTTTATTTGTTTTGTTTCTTGTTGTGTCCTTTTGTTTTTTTTGCGGGGTGCTTTGGTTTTGCCTTGTTGCTGTGCTTGCTTTGGTTTTTATTTCTGTTGATTTGTGTGTTGATGGTTGTATAGTCTGCTTTGTCTTCTTTGCGTTTGCTTCTTGTTTTTTTTTGCTGGGGTGCTGTGCTGGATTTTTTGTTGATGTGCCTGCTTGTGATTGTCTGTGTTGCGTGTTTGTTGCTGTTTTTGTGTCTTGGTGCTGGATTGTGCTGATTTGCTGTGCGGGGAAAAAAGATGGGAAAAGTGATGGCTCACTATAATATATATATATATATGTACGTGTGTATGTGTGTGTATGAACATACATGCAAATACAAAAATTGAGCAATATGATAAGTGTATGTATAATTATGTATATATATATATACAAATGAAAAACATCATGATCAGCAGCAGGGCATCACCCCAACAACATCCAACAAGCCCGCACGAAGCCGCAACAAGCCGCGATGGCGAAACCGCAGGTGGCTTCCCCGCTCCAGGCGCTGGCGCCTTCCGGCCACCGGCCTTTGGCGCGCCAGGTGCCTTTCCTGGTGCTCCAGGCTGGGGATATCTGCGGATGTCACTTAGGATGCAGGAAATGTATGGAAATGGCCTAGGGCCTAGGGCGCTCCAAGAATTGAGCCAACTATGGGGCTGAAAAATGCCAAAATGGCATCGGTTTTGGAGGCACAGGCACCATGCGCTGTCGCCAGGACAAGCGGCACCCTTCGTGCCCGGTATGTTTCCAGGCTTTGCTCTCCATGGCGGGCCTCATGGGTACCGTAGTCCATGATTTTTATTGTTTTATGGGTCAGTTCAAATCAGTTTGGAAGTGATATTCGGTTGGAGAGCCGGTTGGTTGAGGAAGGGAATCGATTGAAGACATGTTTATCATGTTTGCAAAAAAAAAAGTGGCCCAACTCTCCTTCACGTGTTTTACCCGTGTGCCCAATGAAAGTTCATTAATGGATATTAATGGTACATTATATTATGGTACATTCATACATCTTGGATAGTACGCATGGATACGAATGGATGATTTTTTTTAAATTAAGTAAATCCCTCTATTGCTACTTTCACTTGTTCCGGTCAAGACTCCAGTTTGGATCGATCTCTCAAGCTGAGACCCGCATTTGTATCACAGACAGTTTGGGTCTTGAGTCCTCAGTCCCTTCAACCTGCATAGGTGCTCCTAACCCGGCAGGGTACGGCGCATCAGCAAGGGCCTTTGTTGGGGAACCGTCAGCTGAAGGTTTGTATCAACATCGAGAACCTACCCCCAGAATCTTCTGACATAACAAATGGATACAAAATATTGTTTAATGATTTTGTTCTATAATTACATTGAAAACTTATTTCCTCTGGGGCATAATTGAAGGCCCCCATTTTCAAATCTGGTCCTACAGACTATAGCTATATATAAGTCATTGCATGTTAGCAGCGCTCACCAGGTTCGAATTCGTTCAACTGATTGTTTCCCGTTCTGTACGCCGATTCTCGCGCCAAGGCCAGCAGCGGTCCCAAAGGTGCAAGTTGGGGCGTCGCACGTGGGGCTGACTGGGTAGGCAGATAAATAAAGCTGCAAGGCTAATACAGGTGGTGTGACTTGTCAGGGTTTCGTGTTTGTATCCACTTTAGCGACAGGAAGAACAACTCTTAGGTTTCCTGGAATTATGGCCCCACATCTTACTGCATCAGGGCCTAAGATGGAACCGCCAGCAGGCCTCATAGAACGTGTCGCAAAAGGAGAAACGTTGCCCGGAAAGGAGGCTCGCGTGGGAACTAGGGTCACTTCTTCATTTGATGGTCAGGAAAGTGAACCCACTGGGCACAATGCCACCAAAAATTGATCCTGTACTGTATATTGGCTTGGTATTGAGTGATAGAGGGAGATTTGTCATACAGAGACCTGTGGCCTCACATCAGGTGGCTGGACGACTCGCAGGACAATGCGTTTCTACCAAGGTGCAAAAGATGGGAGGCATCACTTTTTTGTGGGCAATTTTTGAATGGAATATGAATGGCAATATGAATGACTAGGGCTATCTATGAGTCAAAGTAGTCAAAAGATGTCAAAAGTTAAAAAACCGTAAAGCACCACAGTATGACACATCCACCCATACCCACATCCTGCATTCATCCAAGACATCCGATGTGAAGGTCTCAGCCGTGCAACTTGGAGAGTTCGTGGCAGACCGGGTTTGCAGCCCAAATAACCACTGCGTTGGGCACTGGTTTGGGATGATGATGGAAGATGGGCCCTTTTGTAGTAGGATGGGTTGGGCTTGAGTTCGATAAGGATGTTTTACATTGTCTAACTATAAGAGTGATATTTTTTGATATTGTATGATCTAGTCACTTGCCAGCCAGCTCTCACCTAGTGCCGGAAGCAGGAATGAGAGAGTGGATGTCACAGTGTTTCGGGTGTAGAGTGTGCACGTCACACATGAGTTTGCGACAAAGTGTGTGAGATTCCCTGGCGATTTGAGCATTGGTGCCTGCCAAGCTAGAGGGGTATTCTCCAAGATGTTTTGCATCAAGTTTCTTGGGTGTGACCTGTGTGAAACGTTGATCTGGAGAATGTGATACTATAATCATCATGTTGATTATCATCCTTGAAGCTGATTTTAGGTGAAATTCACATTGAACCGGGCACCATTCCATATAATATCAAGTTGCAGCCCAGCATGCTACCTAAACTTCACATTGATTTGCAGCCTGGCACACCCAAAGTTGGTAGAACATGTTTCAGTAGAGATTGAGAATGTGGCTGACCTTACTGCAATCCTGTTCAATATCCATCTCCAATTTAAATGCCATTCCCAGCCACCCTGGCAAGGTGCGAAGGCTCTATTTGGGCCTGGACAATGATGGGGACGAAGGATTGCTGAGAATGTTGCAGTGCAGAGCTCAGCATTTCTAGATTTTCTTCACAGGTCCACGAGGAGTCAGAAGCAGGTTTGACTCGGTGGTCTCCAGAATCTCCAGTGATACAAATGGCACGGGATCGAATTTGACCCTTGAGTCTTCTCAGTAAAGAGGAATAACACAGATTTAATATTATGTAATATGATATGTATATATATATATAATATATATATATGTATGTATGTATATTATATATTTAAAAACAACATTATTGTGATCATGGTGATAACGACGCAATATAACGACCATTTTATTCCGGAAAGATTTCAGCTCTGGGCTGTACCTATGTTTCGCAGCTTCTCTGGGGCACCGTGCACGTTTTGTGCCACGGATGGACGGCCTTGAGGCTAGTTGATGCTATGAAGATGCACCTTGGCTCGTCTGGTGGTTGGAACCCATGCCTTAAAGCTGGTGAACCCAAGGTCTGACACACGTGTGCAACAAATCAGACTTAGGCAGACTTAGGGATCTTGATGATGAAGGTCAGAATACTGTCGATGATGTCAGGATACCGACGGTCAGGTTGTTAATGTTGTTGGGCATCTTCAGAGGTCACTTGATGGGAGGGGCACATGTTTGAAGGGATCATGCAATATGTCTGTTAATACCAATCAGGAAACAATGTGCAAATTGCCAGACCAATATTTCCCAGCAGAGTTTACACCTGGTGAACGTACTGGAGCAGGACTGATTGTCATGTTTTTCTTACACCCTCTCATCACACAACACACGTCTGTCACTGTCTTAATGTTTTCGGATGTTTTCGGGTTTGTCCATGTGCTTCCGGCATGGGACGTCACCTGGTGAGGCATGACAGCCCCATCATGAAAGAGGCAGTGAAGAAGATCAAGGCGCATCGTGGCATATCACCGGGATCAACCTCCGAACAAAGCCATCCTCTGTTTGCAACTCAAATATAGCCTTCGAGCTCGCTTTGGGTGCTCTGGGATTGGGTGTCCAGGGACCAGCGCTTGTACCTTCCCTCGCCACTTACTGCTACAGAAACTGCCCACCACCCAAGCAGGGTCTTTTGCGGGAGGATTCTGGCTTGTGTTTTTTGGCTGCGCTGACATCAGGCAATGGGGCATAGTTTTACGTAGTTTTACAGGCAAATCTGATCAGCGAGATCCACCTGTCTCGATCCGGGGTGTGACCTGCCCCAGGACACAGTGGGGGAAGAGTTTTTGTCTCTCAAGGCATCCTCCAAGCACAAGGACAGGTGCTGGGATGTCCTTCGAAGGCCGAACTCACTGCCCCAAAACTAGACAGGCTGCCATGCTTTTCTTTCCAAAAGGCCGCAGAAAGGCGTTAGGACCCTGGTATAACTTAGAAGACTTAGGACAATTAGGAAATCTATGGAAATCTGGAAGTCATACAATCGACATCAATCGACTGTTGAACATCCATCAGTTGCTTCAAAAGCAGGTGACCCACGGCCCATGGCCATCACGGGGTGCCATGGCCCGGCCATGGCAGCTGTCCCCATCGCTCAGGAAGTGGCCGTGCCCATGCTCCAGCGTCTGAGTTTGTTGGGTGCCGAATCTTTGCCAGATCTTCTGGGCGAGGCCTGGGAAGCTGATCCTGGCACGGCATGACATGGCCCATGGCATGGCCCAAATTGGGAGGGCGTGAAGTTTTCATGGCTGGTTGAGGGTGATACGTGATTTTTGCATGCATATAGAATCATATAGACATGGTATCACCCTTGTTTGTGTCCAATGCCTGATGATGGTAGATCTGATCTGATAGGGATTAGGGATTGTTCAACCAAATCTCCGCCTCGAAAATGACATGGGGCGTTGCAATTGTTGAAGGAATGCGGTATAGGTAGTCGAACTACTGGACAAGAGTGCCCCCCGCTTAAGCTGCAATAGTAAAGCGAGAAACTGATTGGGGAGGAGATGGAAGGAGAGCATGTATCAATGAGAGTACAAAAGCGTCAGCAAATGTCTGCTTGCGATCTAGACAGGGAGGGGCTGCTGGTGCCATCACACACTGAAAATGATCCATCAGGAACCTGCGGCAACATCAAGCACTGCGGCCAGCTTAAGCATGCTTAAGATACTTAAGATTGTTTATATTGTTTGATGTACAACAGCTTGATAGAAACCCTGTGATGCCAATGTGTTGATGCAGGCTGTGCCACTATGGCCAGTGTCTCAAAATTGGTTCTAGGGTTGGCTGCGCAGCGAACCTAGGTCGACCTACTGGGCTTCTTGGATTAGAAAGAGATTGGTGGCAGGAGCCAGGAGAGGGGTGGCCTTTCTGTGCATCAATTTTGCAATGCTCAAATTCACCTTTAATGCTAGAAAAACCCAGGTTGCTGTCATGTCAGTCAAGTTGTATCAAGGCTTTCTCGCAGAACCCCTAACCATGATAATTATACAACCCGCTTTTTTACCAGGCTTGTGTCCTATTCGGTTTTTCTCAGGTGATTCTGCACCACCAGCATCTGCGAATGCCTCCCAGACCAAGACGATGAACCTGTTGGATTTCTGAAATTGCCTAAAGAAATAAAAGCCAAATGGACACCTTGCATTTTAGCTATGAGAAACGGATGAAACTGAGCCACGCAGACTTTGCCTGATTCAGCTCTGCGGCTGCACATGTTTTGGACAATTCGGACATATTCAGACCATTCATTGCGGCCACATTGTGTCACCAGTGCTCCCAACAGTGCATGCCATGGTTGAACCTTGGGCGAGGGTCTTGCGCTTGTTGACATTTTGGCAAGAGTTCATGTTTGGAACCCCGACGAAATCTATCCTTCAAAGGGACAGGTGCGCAAGAAAGATGCAGCTCAGTCGTTTCAACTTGTTTTATCGCAACGAGTCTCAAAGGGTTAGCAGGCCTGGCTCCCAGCATTACATGCTAGCTAGCTGTGATGTATTCCTGATGCTTGCAGCTGGCAATTCTGTGAATTGAATCGTCTGAAAGCTCAACCCTTTGAGACTCCGCAGGCCGAGAATTAGGTCGTGCATTGTGCTTCAGCCAGTCACATGACCATAGCATTACAATCAGTCCAGCTGGAAAAATATTGCCGAATATTGCCGAATATTGCCGGAGAAATTTGACCAACAGTAAGAGCTTAGGGATTCGCGTGGAAAGCGTGTGGGCAAATCATGTGAACTGTGGAGCAGGGTTGCTGAAAATGTTTGATGTCCTGGGGCAAGACTGACATCCTTCGGTCAAATATCTACACGTAGGATTTGCAGCGCTGTCAGCCATTCAACAAAAAGCATAGTCACTGGCTGCACCTCTCAATGCACGTCTGCGGCTCATAGCTGACGACTCAATGCAGAGTCGCTCCAGCTCTTTTTTTCTCCCAGGCCGGCCCACCACGAACCGGCTGCATCCCTATGATTGGGAAATAGTATGAAATACTGTAGTGGGAACATTGGGGAAGCATAGCACTGGCCAACAGGTTCTAGATACTGACCCATCTACAATATTCTGGATATAGATTCAGAATGATTCAGACATATTCAGACACAATAGCATGAAAGCAGAATTGTTGCTTTTTTGGCAGCAAGGGTGAGTTTTTGCCAAAGGTGTCAATTTCAACCGAAGTTCTCAGCAGTATGAGACTCTCAATCCCAAATCGCTTCAACGACCAGACACATCTCACCAGCCAACCCCGAATCGTCAAGGCAGCTGTAGTAGGAAGAACTTCCTACAGCGTGAGTGGGACAGGCCAATCAACGGGCGGGCTTTCAAGCCGCAAGTACAGACAAAAAGAGGTGCAGCGGCTTGCTGAGTAACACAGCCTTGGCCGGGAAAGTCACAAGTCATCACAAGCCAACTGAGCCTTCACCCTCAACCATAAGGTTGCTAATGGGTGTCAAAGTTTTTGCATTCTGAACCTTTCTTATAAAATCTTCAACTAATATAGCCATAGCGAATCATTCTAAACATGCTCATTTATGCACGGTCAGCAAGGCCAAAAGAATTGAATGGTTGGAGAGAGATTTGACTGGTTGGAGAGAGAGGGAGAGAGAGAGACAGAGAGAGAGAGGAAGGGAGGGAGGGAGGGAGGGAGGGAGAGGGAGAGATTTCCAAGTTCCCAATCTTGAGTTCAGCCTGGAAGCGAAGCGAAAATCTCTTTTGGAGACCCCTTCCCTTTTGCTCCGGGGCAGGAGGGGCACCCAGCACGTGCATGTGTACCCTGTCCCCTCTTGGAAGAAGTTAGATGGGTCGCCTCTACCAGCATGGATTGTATATATTGTATACTTTCGTTTGGGTTGGTTTCTCCCCAGCATGGTACTGAGGCACCATTCTTGACCTTGACTTGCGCAAGGAAGAGGCTTGGTCCTCCAACTACCATTCAAGATGGCTAGCCGGTCATGGATGCACTGCTGCAGGATGTTGTGCACAATTAGCCTGCTGAATAAGATAAGTTGAGAGTGCCAAGATCCTTTTTTCCTCCTTTGGACCTTTCCTTCAGAGAGCAGTCGTATCACTTCGACTTTGCAGGTGGGTCGGTTACCTGATGCTTACGAGAAGCTCATTCACGATGCAGGGATCTCATTGAACATATTGAAGTGCGGGCGGTGAGCTGGCTGCCTGATACTGCTTGTATTGCATCAGCTTGCTGACACTGCGTGCTTCTCACTTCCTTGTACAACAGATTTGTCCCTTTATCATGAACCGTGTGTAATGATCAGAAGATTTCAGAAGTAGATATGCCCCAATAGTATCCATTAGTCACTCCATTAGTCACCATTGGCAGTCATCAAGATCCATCAAGACATTTTGCTTCCGGAGGTTCTTACTGCCAAGCGACAGGAAGAGTCACCAATCATACTAGACGACGGATGGCCCGAGAGCGTAGAGGAGCAGAGTCTTCTGTTGTTAGTATGGAGACACTATATTACAAGATAATATGATAAAGATGTATTATAGGCAGACGAGAAGAGTAGTATCAAGACAATATATGACTAGTACAAGACAATAGTTTGCATCGTATTTTTGTAAAGTTTTTCATACACAGAACTTTTTACAGACAGACGCTTTTGCACACAGAGACTTTTACACACAGACGCTTTTACACACAGACGATTTTGCACACAGAGACTTTTACACCCAAACACTTTTACACACAGAGACTTTTACACAGACGATTTTGCATACAGAGACTTTTACACCCAAACACTTTTACACACAGAGACTTTTACACACACAGACGCTTTTACACACAGACGCTTTTACACACAGAGGCTTTTACACACACACGCTTTTGCACACAGACGCTTTTGCACACAGACGCTTTTACACACAGACGCTTTTTACACACAGGCTCTTTTACACACAGACGCTTTTTACACACAGGCTCTTTTACACACAGACGCTTTTACACACAGAGACTTTTACACACAGACGCTTTTACACACAAGCGCTTTTACACACGGACGCTTTTACACACAGACGCTTTTACACACAGAGACTTTTACACACAGACCCGTTTACACACAGAGGCTTTTACACACAGAAGCTTTTACACACAGACGCTTTTACACACAGACGCTTTTACACACAGACGCTTTTACACACAGAGACTTTTACACACAGTTGCTTTTACACACAGACGCTTTTACACACAGACGCTTTTACACACAGAGGCTTTTACACACAGATGCTTTTACACAGACGCTTTTACACACACACGCTTTTGCACACAAACGCTTTTGCACACACAGTCTTTTACACACAGACGCTTTTGCACACACAGTCTTTTACACACAGACGCTTTTACACACAGACGCTTTTACACACA